ACTTAGTCACGGTCTAAGATTGAATGCTGAAGGGGTGTGAGAATTTTGCGGCTCAAGTTAACTACAGTTTGGCCTAGCGGTGGCCTCTCAGTATTTTTATCCCCAGTAATTAGTTTAAAGACTTACTCGATGCTTGAAGCTGGTGTATCCAAAACAAATAAATGCTATTTGCTGTTTCTGGAGACCAATGAAGATTATCAACTGTTTCGAATTCTTCTTCGTAGGGTGGTAAGATTGTTGCGCTGTTGATACTGGACTCCATCATCATGTTGTTGAGGGTGCTGAGGTTCTGTTGTGCTTTCTTCGAGATTTTATTTGAAATGGGTATACATGTGAAGAGGATCTTGGAGTTTGGGAAGGTTTTGTTGGCTGTGGCGATTAATTTCTGGGCTTGGTTAAAGGAGGTCTTTGGTATCTGATCACGGTTGTTGAGGCCTACATGAAGAATAATGGTAGTAGGTTTGGGATCATGGTCGTATGATTCCAGGATTGACTGTATGTGATGGATTTGGGCACCGGGGTAAGAATGTATTTCGGTGTCCGAACTGGTTTTGGTAATTCGATTCAGGTTAGATGATCCAATTATTAAGGTTGATTTCTTTAGAGCAGGTAGTTTCCATAATGATTTGTCCTTGGTTTGGTGATAATACGGTTTGGTAGCGGATATAATGGTCGTCGAGGGTGTGATTGGTACTGGTTTGGTGGTTGTTAGAATTGTAGCATTGGGAACGGACTGGGATCTAGTTCGAGGAGGGGAAGGTCTGGATACATGTCTCGACTTGGATGGAGACTGAGGGGTGGTTTGCTGGTCCAAAAACGCACAGAAGGAAGAAAGGTTGGCGGATCCTGGATCACGTGGTGAAGATTCAGATGGTGTGGAAGGGGAAGACGAGTCTGAAAGTGAAAAGAGAAGGGGTGTGCCCTCTCTACGAGAGCGTTTACCTATGTCTGCTGCACTAGGAGTAGGTGAACTTCGGGCTCATTTAGGGGTTTGGTTCGGCAGCGTGGTAGCTCTAGGTGGTGCAGGTGTAGTGTCCATTTCAGTTGGTAGAGATATGGTTACTCTGGTTTTTGTTTCGTTGATTGTTTGGTAGAATTTGGAAATTACAGCTTGAGTGAGACGTTTCCCATAGGAGCGACGGGCCCAGGACAGGGCATGAGAAACGATGCGGTCGACGGCAGGTGATGATAAAGACTTGGTACGAATGGTGGTCAGCTTCTCTTGAAGTGTGGTTTGGTAATGGTCGATCAGGACCTGCGTAACCTTACAGAGCCATGTCCGATTGAGGGATCTAATATTCGCGTCGACAGCTGATGTTTTCATTGCTGGACGGATAAAACTATCCAACTCAGAGACTTTGCGTTTGAAGGTAAACGCTGGTTGGCCTTGCTGTTGAAGGGTAAGGATTGCCAAATGATGGAGGCACTGCAAAACTTGGAAGAACACCTTCACAAAGGGTTCTTCCTCCTTATGAGTGGGGACTGGTTGGCGTCGGTGGGCTGGTAGTCGTTTCTGTTGTTGGTCAGGTCGATGGTTACCTCTTGATTGGTAGGCTGTGTTGTAGGTAGGTCGGCGATGGGGTGGGATATAGCTGGATGGGTTGGTTGGTGGTCGGCGATTGGTAGGTGGTAGAGGTCGATGGAAGACAGGGCCGTTGTAGGGTACGTGATATTGGTTTGGTTGACGATTAGTGTTTCTATTTCTGGCTTCTTGCCAGTGGTTGTTGTAGTTGGGGAGCATAATGAAAATAACTTGAAATATACAGTTACATCGTTTTTATTTACAGCATCTTTTTATTTTCACACTACTACCTGCTGACGTTGCTTCATTTTACACTGAAATATTTAATTTTAAATCGACATTGGATGCATTCCCCCACTAACCTCGTTACATTTTTCATTATGCAACAACCACTGGCAAGAAGTCAGATATCGTAACACCAACCGTCAAGCAAACCAACATCGTGTACCCTACAGCAGCCCTATATTCCATCGAGCCTTACCAACTACAAATCGCCGACCTCCTTGCATCCCAACAACCTATGTCCCACCCACCACATCGATGACCTACCTTAATAACTCAGCCTACCAACCAAGAGATAACCGCCGACCAAACCAACAACAGAAACGACCACCAGCCCATCGATGTTAATGTGTTCTTCCAAGTTCTGCAGTGCCTCTATCACTTAGCAATCCTTACCCTCCAGAATAAAGGTCAACCTGCTTTCACCTTCAAACGCAAAGTCTCTGGGTTGGAAGTTGTATCCGTCAAGCAATGAAAACCTCAGCTGTGAACGAGAATAATAGACCCTCAACAAAACACGGCTCTCTAAGGTGACGACCACTACCAAACCATCCTCCAGGAGAAGCTGTCGACCGCATCAATTTCCATGCCCTGTCTTGGGCCCGTCGCTCCTATGGGAAACGCTTAATCCAGCCTGTTATTACCAAATTCTACCAAATCATCAACGAAGCAAAGACTCGAGTTACCATATCATTCCGATTGAAGATATGGATGTGGATCACCACCCTATCTACACAGACCCATAAAAGAGCCCGTAGTCTAGTGAACACAGGTATCGCGGGGAGGGCACCCCACTTCTATTTTCCCTTTCGTAGTCTACGCCTTTACAGCCAGTACCCAATGCTGGAATCTTCCTGCCATAAAGAAATCCAGCTTAATCATTGGATCGTGAAACCTCAACGAATAAGCAAGACGACTTCAGATACCAAAATCCATTCGTACCCTGGTGACCATATCTATCACATCCAGCCCATTATCGAAAGCTACGACCGTGATTCTAAACCAGCTACAGTAATCCTACATGTTGGCCTCAACAATCGTGACCAATTACCAAAAACACTTACAACCAAGCCAGAAATTGATCACACCTCGACAAAACTTGGTGTCAATGTTTTTTATCACCTAGAGATGAATCCAATCGAAAATGAGGAAAATCGAAAAATATTTAGTATGAGTTAGTGCCCTTTTTTATTAAAAATGCGTTCGTAAACACTGTAGAAGGCACAATACTTGACGGATTTTGACGAAACTTAGTGTGAGTGTTTGTAATCACCCAAGGATGAAACCTTTTGAAAATCAGAAGAATCGAAAAAGATTAAGAATGAGTTATTGCCCTTGTTCTTGAAAACGCGTTCAATTTTTAGCTCGTAAACACTTTAGAAGGCAAAACTTGGTGTGAATGTTTGTTATCATCCAAGGATGAACCCTATCGAAAATCAGATAAATCGAACAATATTTAATATGAGTTATTTCCCTTGTTCTTAAAAGTCTGTAAACACTCTAGAAGGCCAAATTTTTGACAGATTTTGATGAAACTTGGTAATATTATTATGTATGACTGAAAGTTGAATACATCATACTGGTAATTGGTACTGTACTTCCAAGTATTTTAATTTAAATTCAAAGCTGCAAGTGGGCGTATATACCTTGCCTGGCAAGCTATCTTTTTATCAGCAAGTTGGCGACATAGACAACTGAAGAGACCTTTCATGCTGTATACCACACCTATACATAACCTGCATAAATATTTGACTTTAGAATTATTTGACGAGACATATTATTCACGTATAAATAAAGAAGTTGAAGTAAAAAAAAAATTTCAGGAGTCAGTAATTAGCTTGAGAGCATTTGTGATATAACGCACTTTTAAATGTAACTAATTCATGAAGATATATAGTGCAGCAGTAGTGTGTGTATATAGTGAAGCATTAGTCATGTAAACTTAGACAGCTCAAAACCACCCGATTTTTATCATGAATAATATCATGTTTCAAATATCAAATTAAAATTGTGTAGATAATCTTGACTTATCTGGATTAAAATTTTATAATATATTATAAGTATATATCGGCCGATATTACTAACGATATATATTCCCAGGTGTTGTCCCTGGTTCTCTTTTAAAAAGTCTTGAATCACTCAATCAGCGCAAGTTGCTCTCAAAGAAACAATGCTGTTAGTATCAGGAAATGTTGGATTTTATGTCCACCAAGTTTCGTGGCTGTGGCATAACTCCATCTGTGTCCGCCTATGAACATTACAGCCCCCATCGTACGTGTATGTTAAAAAGAAGAAACAGAAAAATAATAATTGCCATGGGATTATTCAAAATATCAAGAAATGGGGGACACTTTAATTTTTCATGATTTTGAGGGTCATGAAGTGAAGTTCCCCCAAGAACAAATGTATATGTTTTGAAAATTAATTAGTATTTTGGCCTTTGGCCAAAAATCCATGTGTATCCAGAATTATCTGCGTTTCATTGTTAAAAATTTGAATTTAAAAATGGCGACCATGAAAAGTCTTTAATAGTAGATATTTCTTAAACTGTGTTAGCTATTAATTGATTCTCAGTAGATAATTTTACATTTTTAGGGTCAACGAATCCAATGGTTTATGTTACAATTGGAGACAACATCCAATGGTTTATGTTACAATTGGATACAACATCCAATGGTTTATGTTACAATTGGATACAACTGCCGCCATGTTGAATTTTAAAATGTTGACCATCAATAATCTATAATTGTCGATATTCCGGGATCTTTGTCAGCCATAAACCAGTTCTTGGTGTCTAATTGTACAGGAAATGCAATGATTCGGATTTCAAATAGCTAAAACTGCCCCCATGTTGACTTTCAAAATTATAATTGACACTTGATGGTCCTTTGGTGGTCAAGGAATGCAATGATGTAAGTTAAAAGGAGCTTTAACGGCCGCCATGATCAATTTAATACGATCAAATTTTATACGATTCAATATTTCTGGTCCAGGTCAGCTATACCTGGACATTTCAGAGGAAGGAATCTGATGATTCACGTTACAAGTGGTTCCAACTGCAAGATATCGGCACAGTATATACGCCTATATATAGGCATTTAACCTAATATTTTGTTATTTTGTACATCAAAGTCACACAATCTTGAGAGTGATGTTCCAAGTACATGTCTTTCCAATTTTTTGTGTGAAATGATATTTTGATTGATATTGAGAACTGATTTTGACCTGCTGGTGCCACACTTATTGATGAAACAGCCGTCTACACTGTTACAGATAGCTTGCCAGGCAAGGTAATATACGCCCACTGGCAGCTTTGATTTTGAATAAAAATATTTAGCAGTACAGTTACAATCACCAGTATGAAATATTCAACCTTTAGTCATACACTTCTTTTGAACTTTTTATGGCGATAATGAATAATATTGAGTATGAGTTATTGCCCTTGTTCTTGAAAACGTGTTCAATTTTTAGCTCATGAAAACTTTAGAAGGCAAATATTCAATCTTCAGCGCGGAACTGAATAATAAAAGCAAGTTTTGTCAAAATCCAGCAACAATCACGCCTTTTAGTGTTTAAGAGCTCAAATTGAAAGCGTTTTCAAGAACAAGGGCAGTAACTCATGCTAAATATTTTTCAATTCTTCTGATTTTCCTTGAGTGATAACAAACACTCATTTTACCGAAACCAATTTTCAAAGAAACTGCTAACATGATTAACAATATTCTTGCCGATTTAGTCAAAACTAGTTATCTCAAACAGAAACAATATGACTATCTGTCTGCCAAACCTGATTGTCGCGAGAGACATTTGTTCACTTTGCCTAAAATCCATAAGAATCCAACCAAGGAGTGGTTTATCTCGAATAAAATCCCAAAATTCCGCCCGATTATATCTGACTGTGGTAGTGAGTCATATGCAGTGTCAGAATACATTGATCATTTCTTACTACCTCTAGCATGTCAACATCGCGCCTACCTTAAAGACACAACCGATTTTGTCAATAAAATAAAAAAATCTTCGAGTTCCCTCTAATGCTATTTTAATTTCTATCGACGTTTCTTCTATGTATACCAATATCGATAACACTACTGGTTTAACGGCAGTTCGTAAAGCTTTTAATAGAAACCCAGATCCAAACAGACCCGACGATGCAATTCTACAACTTTTAGAGATTTGTCTTAGTCGAAACGATTTCACATCTAATGGTAAAACATATTTACAAACTTCAGGGACAGCAATGGGCAAACGATTCGCCCCTTCGTACGCAAACCTTTTCATGGCAGAGTGGGAACGTGAGGTGTTGCCCCTCTGTCCATTTGACCCACTTTTTACGGACGCTTTTTGGATGACATTTTTATGGTTTGGACTTATTCTATCGAACAGTTTTGGGAATTCTTTGAAATTCTCAACAACCACCATCCTTCTATCAAACTAACCGCAAACGTGAGTGACAAAAGCATTGACTTTCTCGATACCACAGTCTTTAAGGGAGATTCCATAGCAGAAACAAATAAACTGGATATTAAAGTGTATTTCAAAGAAACTGATACTCATCAACTCTTGCACAAGAGCTCCTTTCACCCAAAACATACCTTTTCTGGTATAATTAAGTCACAAGTTTTACGATTTCATCGAATTTGTACAAGATCTTCTGATTTCAACCAAGCCTGTACGATTGTTTTCTCAAAACTGAAAGAGCGTGGGTACTCTAAACGATTTTTACGAAACATAAAAAATTCCACCTTAGCACAGATAGCAGCTAAAAACAGACTTTATGCCGAAGTACCTCCAGGTTTAAGAAGTGCTCCATGTTTGTCCAGTAGATGCAAAACGTGTCCCTTTATATCAGAAACTCATTATTTTGTAAGCAACTCTACGAATAAAAGGTACCCGATCCAGGAACATCTAACATGTGAACATTCGAATGTAATATATTTAATTTCATGCAAGAAATGCCCCAAACAATATGTAGGAGAAACTAAGAATAATTTACGAACTCGCTTTAATGCTCATAGGTAAGACATCAAATTAAAGAAAGACAAGCCTGTTTTAATCATTTCAACCTCGACGACCATTCAATAGACGATCTCACCCTAATCCCAATTGAGCGTATAGAAATTGACTTGCCCGAAGATGAAACTACCAAATTCCGTCAATCTAGGGAAGCCCATTGGATTGAGACATTGAATACAGCAAGACCTATAGGACTAAATATTCATCATAATGTAGGCATAGCACCCTTTGTTGTCCCGTTTAATACAACCAGCAATCGAGCAAGCAAGATAGTTCATGCCCACTATAAGAGCCTTCAAGAGAAATTCCCCCATGTCTATAAGCAGAAAATGATAGTTGCATATTCAAAAAATAAGAACTTAAATGATAATATTGTTCATAGTAAACTAAAAACAATCAGCACATAACAGATACTATACTTCTCAGATCAGAATAAGAACAGAAGAAAACCCAATATAAAGACCCTTAATCCTAATTTCTAAATAAAGTGTCTGCTCCACCCTAGGCCTGTACATTTGGGAGAATCAAACCCTCCCTTCCCCGAAAACTAAATATTTTTCGATTCTTATGATTTTGAATAGGGTTCATCCTTGGGTGATTACGAACACTAACATCAAGTTTCGTCAAAATCTGTCAGGAATTGTGCCTTCTAGAGTATTTACGAGCTGAAAAATTGAACGCGTTTTCAAGAACAAGGGCAATAACTCATACTAAATATATTATGATATTTCTGATTTTCAATAGGGTTTAATCTTCATTGATAACAACCACTCATGCCATGTTTCGTCAAAATCCATCAAGAATTGTGCCTTCTAGAGTGTTTACGAGCTAAAAATTGAACGCATTTTTAAGAACAAGGGCCATAACTCATACTTAATATTTTTCGATTCTTCTGATTTTCAATAGGGTTCATCCTTGGGTGATTACGAACACTCATACCAAGTTTTGTCAAAATCCATCAAGAATTGTGCCTTCTAGAGTGTTTACGAGCTAAAAATTGAACGCGTTTTCATGAACAAGGGGAATAACTCAAACTAAATATTTCGATTATTCTGATTTTCAAAAGTTTTCATGCTTGGGTGATTACGAACACTCATACCAAGTTTTGTCAAAATCCGTTAAAAATTGTGTCTTGTAGAGTGTTTACGAGCAATTGTGGACGGACCGACCGACCGACGGATGGACGGACATGGGTGACGGCAATATACGCCCCCCATTTCATGTGGGCGTATAAAAATGGACAAAGAAAACTTCCACTCCTTTGCAATGGAGCGTTTAGTCTACAGATCTAAGTCACTCAGTGCTGTCAAAGCGCCAACAGTTGTCAAGACACAAACTTCTTGTTATTTGTCTACATGTACCAAATTTGCCTAACCGTGATTTGAAAAAAATCTTGTTAATCTCGTCCAAGCCTCCCAGCAATAACTGACATTTTATGCAGTTTCAAGGAAGTTACTTTTGTGGACTTTGGGTTTTCAGCTGCAACGACAAAGCTGTCCAACCACGAATATATATGGGGACTTTGAGGATTGAGGTGTTACATTCTATGACATTCATAAAATAATATTTCAGATGATATCCATTGTTAAAACGACTTAAGGAAAGCCAGGATTTTTGGCGTCTTCCTCTTCAAACAATTTAAGATACGCGGTGGCCATTTTAGAATTTGGGATGAAGATCATACATATAACATAAATTGATGATTTCATTTAATTCCTGGTCCTAGAAAAATATATTTAGACACTTCAATTGTAATTGTATCACATATATATTAGCGACAATATCACATTATTAGTAATGGAAAGAATAATTGACACCCTAATTTGTTTGAAAGCTAGAACATCAAGTTTAAGTGCGATTTTGCTTTTAACTAAAAAACAAATTACTCGAAATTATAAATCCAGCCACACTACCAATGCATTTTTACGAGAAAAAAAAATTTATTCTTGAATTTAGAATTTATCGTTTTTAGTGTAAAATGAAGATAACGTACCTGCTGAGATGCTTGTTGCACAATGATATGCCAAACATATATAAATAAAAGGCATAGTCAACGTATACTTACTATCCCACGCATAGTTTATCTTTAAAGTTGGATTGTCATGTATAAAATGTTGGAATATAGCTGGCTATAAAAGCGTCTGAAAAGTGAGTATCAATCAACAGAAATTGAAGTGGCATTGTATAGATCTCATCAACGGCAATAACTTTTGTCACAAGGTCACCAAAGATCAAGGTCACGAGTTACCAGGCTTGAAACTTTTGGCAAATTAAGGGAAATAGAAAAATTGAAATTAAAAAATTCGCTCCCATACCATTTTCGACAATCGATTGCTTCATAGATACCAAAATCACACCACAAGTCGGACTATTTTGTGAGAGTTGCACAAATCATATCAATTTGGCGGCTTATCCGTTAGTTCCGGGTCGTATCAATCTAATATCTTCGTTGGGAAAATTCTAACTCATTGCAAAAAGAACAACAGCAACAGATGTTTTGTGACATCTAAAATATATTTAATGGTAGCACAAGCCTCTTAAAATTTATAATCTAACCAAACCAAACCAAACCAACGACTATCATTCGACTACCAATCAACAAGAAATACCATGATCAGAACGAGTTTGGAAGAATGAAGGAGACCGAGTAACTCACGCCACACCATCCAGGGCCGAGTTTCACCGCCATGTCATTCGACCCGACCAGATCTAACGAAGAATCAACAACCAAACCAACAACACCGAATCATCCAATTTGATCCAATCCAACTACCAACTACTACGACTACCAACAACTACCTAGTTTGCGATATCAGCATCCGCTGGAAGCGAACGTTAACTTGTCATCTACCAACCAACCAACCTCTTAAAATTTAATATTTTACTTTTCACTATAGGCCTACACTGTCAGCGTTATTACCATAACTAATTGACAAAATTTAAATTTCTGTTAAAATTCTCTAAATATTTATGGATTTCACTGTAATTTGGTCAAAATCATTTTTTATATATATATACTGTATATTCTGTAGTATTAAATTTTCTAATCGGACTATTTTATGAGAGTTGCATAAAAGTTGGCCATATCAATTTTACAGTTGCTCAGCTGGATACTCAATGGATATCCATTGTATTGAAATTGAATTGGTCATTTATTATACAAATGACAAATAAACATAATAAAATAAAACAAAGTCTAATACTTTTAAACAATGACTATCAAAGGATGGGTGATGATTCTGCCATCGATATTGGCTCAGTGGTCGAGATGACTTAATTTTGGGTTAATGATCAAGTCAAGCGGTTAAATTACATTTGCTGCTGACCTACCTACAGTTTCATTGTGACATAGAATATCAGATAATAGTTCTTGAGTTGTGCGATCTGTTTCTGGTGGATCTTGCCTATTGGATGGACAACCATTACCAAATGTTGAAGTTGTCAAAACAGGTCTAACAGTTGCCGTAATTGTAGGTATGACCACTGTAACACATTTGGAAATAATGTCTTCAATGTTAATTTCATCAGACTGTGACGACTTTCATTCACTGGTATATGGAGCATTTGGTATACCATGTACAGGAGGTGCTGCGGTGAAGAGGCGGGGAATTTTACTCCTTGGTGGGGGAAGTTGATGATTATTAAGCCGTTTGGCCCTCAGCCGGACGGACCCACTCATCCTGAAAAGTGCAATGGAGTCAATAAATAAATCGAATTAAATCGACACCTAAGTAATAAAATTGTAAGCTATTCCGAGAACTTGTATGACAAACTTGAATACTGGCAATAATAAGCCACAACGTTGAAAATAATGGCTAACATTGTTAATGGTGGCTGCTTAGATAGCCACAACTTTGAGTACTGGTTAGTAGATAGCTATTACATTGATTAATTTGATTACTGGCTATATATATAGCCACAAATTCGATCGATGACTGCTTAGATAGGCACAACCTAAATAAACGACCTTAGACAGTGATAACTTTGAAGATGGCCCTTAGATAGTCATAACTTGAATAATGGCTCTTAGATCTTTCATAAAATGAAACAAGACAAGTTCAATAAATAAATTTGGTCATAACTTGAAAGCTTCTACCTTGTCCACCGGGACATTCTTGGACTTATCTGGAACCAGTAGGGTTGAGTCACTGCCGAATTATAGGGCACATCTGATACGAGAATTTTAAACTTCTCCTCTCTTGATATCAGACATCTCAGCACGTGGGTGACGTTATAGGCACGCAGTAGAGGGACATAACTCTTGCAAGTTATGACCAATTTTATTCATGGAACTTGTCTTGTTTTATGGATTTATGTATTTTATATTACGGTTCTGATTGTTTGTACTTGGTATTTATTTTATTCCAGATTTTACAATAAAACTATAGTTTCGATTTCCCTAACAGGTGTAAATTATAAATAAAAAGAAAATCGATGCGGGGCAACATATTAAAATATTTCGTTTTATGTGAAACAAATGGTCATTCCGGATTTTATCAGAAACCTTTAGTTTCGTTTTACAAGTCGTTTTTGTGCAGTTGGGCACGATGCGGCAAGTTGGGCAATGCGGCAAAACAAACCCACCGGCATGTAAATGCCGCTTAGACTTACACAGTGTTTAACAGTATGCAACAGTATGATTCACAAGGCCTTAGAGTACTGCAATAATCCTTGTTTATTCAAATGAACACCGTCCTGTTCGTAGATGACTACTGTTGGTTTCAGAAGGCCTTTAAGTCGACACCAACTTATATTAGAAAGAGGATAATAATTTGCATAATCTACAAGGGTGTTATAAACCGCGGGGGGCACGTGTCTAATTTTTTGTCTATGTAACAATCGGCACACGAAAACACTCACAATGTGATATCTGTTTTTCCAAGTCTGACAAATAAGACATAAACGGTCCATTAACAAACAAACTGACTCTTTAGAAGCGCCTGGATGATCGATATCATTACCCCCAACATGGGCAACAAGGTGTTGAGGTTGACAATGGCCGCTTCCCACACGCGTACATGGCGAGACTGTCCGATGCCACCTCCACTAACACCAGAAAAAAAGATGGAATCGTTTAAATAGCACGATTCAACGCAAAGTTATGGGCAATAACACATAACACATTGCAATTCATATACGTTTGCAAACGAATCAAATGCGATGAGCCACAAAAAAGTACAGACATTATCACTTCAACCTGCGTGCAAACTTTCTAATAAAAACTAGGTCACTGTACTACACAGTTGACAAGATCACGTGGCCAGTATATGGGCACGAAGCCATTACACTCTATCCACACAAAGGAGGTGACAGACTTAACTTTAAAAATAAAAACGTAATCTGAGTAATTAACGACCTTAGCTGTCATAAAAAGCAGTCGGCAAGCTGCTTGGCATTGTTAACAAAAGATCGCAATACTTATACTAGAGACTTTGACATTCTTCCAAACATATAAAACTTAAATGACAGCAGACTTATTAGTAACTTTTCACTTGCCGACAGGATGGAAGAATGGAATATTCGACTAGTCACGTGATTGGCTCCCACCTGATACTTAAAAATATTTTATCAGTAACCGATAAAATGTTATTTGGCGGCTATATACGATATTTCCGGGTCGTATCAATCTAATATTTTCGTACGGACAACTCATTGCAAAAAGATTAAATATTCATTCAATAACTTATCTATCCCAACACTTACACCCCTTTTAAGTTTACATATAGTTTGTCTTATTTCGGAAGATGTTGTTTCACAATCGAGTTCTTCTAATATTGTATAAGGAACTGTAAAGTTCTGTGGATTCAGCGAATTGCTCTCAACTATGGAGGTGGGTCGTTGCCTGAAATATTCACAAAGTAAATCTTAAAACAAGGCGTCGACTTTACAAAGTTATATTTCCACATAACACAATTAATTACAAAATACACCTTTCTAAAATCAATCACGAAAACTAACGTCTTTACTTTGTAATTAGTAGATTGACTTGTTAATTTTAGAAATTGATTTTTTGTAATGAGTAATGTGCAAATGTAACTTTGTAAAGTCGATGGCATACTCAACAGCCACTAAATTTTTTAAATGTTTATAAAAGCCTATTAACTAAGTTGTATTCGGTTGAACAATTTTCTTTAAAACTTTTTATAGAATAATTTTGGGTTGTTTAGCGTCACATGATCTTTGTGATTGAGGTTATTTTTTACATGAACGTTATAAACGTCATTTAAGTATTTTGTATTTATTCTTATATAATGACAAGTAAATGATTGTAAATTTCCTCATTGGCAAAAAATCATCTGATTGCTATCTGCATGCCATCCAGTCGTACTCTTTCATCCGTGCAGTTGTGTATGCACACCTTAGCCTAGTTATCGCGTGGTCAGAATACATTGTAAACTGTCAAAAATGATAGCTATTAAATAAATTCTAAAAATTGTTATCAATTGTTAAGTCTATTACACTATCAACATTCTCGTTGCGAAACGTATATTGACTGTTACCAGAAGTTTTTCCATTTTGGATTTGCAGACTACTGTTTCTACAAAGAGTCCAAAAGTATTGGCCAAAACATCATCTTCATTTTTTCTATTACTATGAATGATTTCATCTTCTTCATTATTAATTACATCATTCAGAATGTCGGAAATGCTCGTGTCGCTCGTCCTGAATGCTGACTTCTGTACCTGTCCATAACCTACTGTTAAAGTCTCCCATTTAGTGTTCAATTGGTGCAAACCACACCTTTATTTAAATTCAACAACATAACAATCATAATATTTATAGAATACAGATTTCATTGGTGGTATATAGACCATGCATATATAAAGGTTCTCCAATTATGCATTAAAATCTTATCAAATTTCAACCAAATGAGACTGTCAACAGTGGTTTTAACAATCTTAAAGATGGGTTGCCTTATTTTCATTTATAAAAATGAAAATGCTAATACTTTTATGAATAGAAAGTAGGGTGTTCTAATGACTTTGTGTCACATGTCCATAATTAATTCATAATTAGCTAAATTAGAAGATAATTACCAGCAGAATTCCAATGAGTGACCGAACAAGAAAAAAGTATTTTTTGTTTGTTTATCCCGACTGCACATACATGGACATTTATGACTGGTTAAAACCCCTAAGTATATGCAATAAGAACATAAATGATTAAAAATACATGATAATTCTTTAGAAACGCCAATTAATCAAATAGCTTAATTTGACACTAAAAAATAAGGAAACCCATCTTAAACATTTTCTGTTATCCAGGGTTTGAATAATAGAACACAATCACCTCCTTTACACTTTTGAATCCCTTACATTTGATTTTACAATCTTTCTTTAGCCAACATTCAAATTAGCCAATTTGTATAATATCAATAACATTTGTGTCTTTCAATTTGGTAAAAAGCCCTCCCTCTCTGGCAATTCCATGCACACACTTTAATTCTTGACGAGTCGTCATTTTAACATTCAAACGCAGAGAATTCTCGACACACATGGAATTGAAGACTCAAATTTCGACGGACGGTGAGCTGTGAACACTATTACTGATTGGCTTGGCTAAAAAATTCCCGTTTCTGAGACTAAACAAATGGCGCGCATAATATTATTATAATCAACCACACAAACTCCTTCCTGCCCTATTGCTTATAGCCTATGCAACCCCATTTATGTATAATTTATTATAAACTAATTTCACTCCACCTCAGCTTGAAATTGTTCATAAACAAAATCATTGGTCTGTATCTTTTCTACTCAGAAATTCTGCACAAATCTCCCGGGGTGTTTTCTATCTCCAACCCTACTGACTTTCTCAAACCTCATTTTAGTTCCTCCAACTTATAGCCAATTTCAATGGTTCTATATGTTAAGTCTCTCATATTATGCAAAAATTCTAATACCCAATGTGGGGGCTGTTTCTGACTAAGATTGGTTTGACTTGCCTGAGGTTGATGATGATTTGGACCAACTGTGTGCACATCTTGAGTTGGAGTCGACGCTTATAAACCATGATGTGTTTGTTGGAAAGTGTACGTTGGGTTTAAATCGGTTTGTTGATTAACCATATTTCAAATAAGGTTGGTATATCTCTTCAAGTTTCACAGCCTCCTTTATAACGTCATCAATCATTGTTTACAACTTCAATCTTTAAGGTGCGGGCACACGAATAATCTTGGTCGGAGATTTTTGTCGCCGATTAGAGTCTTGAGTAAAATCTCTTGTGATTTATGATATCAAACAAGTTTGATGATTATCCAATATTTTTTATCGTCTGCTAGACAAACCGTCATCAACCAATCAAATTCATTTTCCTTTTAATTGCATGCTCCGCAAGTGATCATCGACAAAGTGGAAACGACCGACTGGAGATTTTTGTCTCCTCGTGTGCTCTGTTTTAGATAAAGATAGTAAAAAGTCAATTAGAAAACCATCAAAAACTTTGAGATGATAATATAAACAAATTAGATGGTCATCAAAAACTTGTAGATGATATGGTATTCAAACATTTGATAACAAAATGAACTCATATGATTGAAAATTGAAAATGAGTTTCTAAAAAGATTTAATCAAATGATAAAAAAAAATATCTGGAATGAAAAAGAAATTGAAAAGGAGTTTCTAAAATTAGATAAAAAAAAAAAAAAAAAAAGACTGGAATGATAAACAAATTGAAAAAGAGTTTGTAAAATTAAAATAAATTAACAAAAGATTATCAAAAGCAAAATCCTTATTTAACCCTTTAAAGATGGTATTTTAGAAAGCATGGATTTGTTGCAAAAACCTTACTGCTATTAAAGATATAGCCTGTTTTTTTAGAAAGATAATTATGAACTAATTATGTCATGCACTATTTCAGTTCAATAATGTTTATACTATATTATTTCTCTTAAATTTAAAGATGTGTTCCCTTATTTTCATTTATGAAATTGCAAATGTTAATACATATGAATAGAAAGTAGAGGTGTTCTAATGACTTGGAAAAAGACAATTTTGTCTCACACGTCTATACTTAATTCATAATTAGTTAAATTATTAGAGAATTACCACCAGAATTCCAATGAGTGCCGGATCAAGAAAGGTCAAAATGTCCTTTTGTTTATCCAGACTGTACATACATGGACATTTATGATTGGTTAAACTCTTAATTACACACAATATAAGAAAATAATGATATGATTAAAAATACATGACAATTTAGATATAAATGAATATTCTAAAGAATTTTGGACAATGAATTAAATAGAATTGAACTTTATTACAGCTGTAGCAAACGTTGCTTTAGCTCAATAATATATACATTTACACAATATGAAACGTATATACATAATATATACAATTGTATGAATATCCAGGAAACACTAATTATTTACAATAGTGAGCATCGGTGTTCCCATGAGAAATAAAGATACTGACATATTTTATACGTTAAATTTTTATCACAGCATTTCATTAATTCTATAAATTTTCTCTTATCAGGATGCTCATAATAATATTGTGAAATAAAATTATATCTATATTGATTAAAACAAAGACATACGAGAAGGAAATGAAACTCATCTTCTACACAAGATAACTCACAAAATTTACATATTCTAGACTCTCTGGGTGTTTTATTAAATCGACATGTTTCAATTTCAAGTTTCATACTTCCACTGCGAAAAAGACTTAATTTTAACATACTTCTTGTTTTTAACAAATGTCAAATAAGGTTCAAAATTAAAACAGTCCTTAAATTCATTATGATATAAAAGTTTAGATGAAGAGGACATTTCAGCAAACCAACTTTGTACAAAATTATTAATTATACGTTTTTAATAAATTACCATTCATACATGATTCATTGAGATAACATTGATTATTCCATATATCAGAAAGTCCTAGATTTTCTAATTCAACTTTAACAAAAAAATGCCCAGTTTTTCTTACCATTATCACAGTCGGTTTTTAAATTAATATAAACAATGTGTATCCTCATTTGAAAGTTAAAATGACTCGCATTTGCTTGAGACTTCGCCAGATATAGATATATATCTCGTCTATTTTACATGAAATTGAATTACAATTCCGTTTCATTTATCGGATATTCTACGTTTCCATTTTAATCTAACAAAGTTCACCATAGTCCTGTTGTGTACATCCTTTGGCGCAACTCAAGCATCGATTATTAAGTTTTCTGACCCAATTCGGGCAACTCGGAGAGTTCCGAATTTTACACCCACCGAATCAGAACTATAAATGAATTCATCAAGACGCTACCAGATATTCCACAATGTCCCTGTGCCCCAAGTGGGTATTGCAGAATTGCTGCTGTGGGTGAAGTCTGTGTAGGAAATCTTTAACATTGTAAAGGTAAAACTTTAATACAGGCAATTATACAGAATAAGAAAAAGGTTATATAAATAAACCTGTCGTATGTTGAGTATGAACTGTGTATAGACCATGAACTGTGGTCTCAAATGTGCTTAAAAATAACTTTTTGTAGTACAACCTAGAAATAACTTTTTCTCACGTGAAATCTATTCTTATATGTTAGCTAACTAAAAAACAATGTTCCCACTTTCAGAGAGTGTCGAAACTCCATATTTCAGCTTTTAAAGATGCATACTTTAGTTTAATTTCTATACAAATCTTGAATTGTAATGAGCTATAAAAATTGTCTGAAAATCTGTGAGGCATTTCAGGATTTGTTGAATATATGATGCAGTTTCCCCAGATGTTATAAATCAGTTAAAAAAAAAGCCTATTCGCCCAAGGTGAATGAAGATCCACTTAACCTTAAAAAATGCTAAACGTGCAAAGGGAGATAATTAAAATACTTTTATTTAACACACAGTTTAGTAGTAATAGAACATATAGATTGGGGGCACTTTGGTATAATTTATAAAAAAAAAAATCACTTTTTTCATGACGTCAAAAAGCGATTTTTTTTATGAATTATACCACAGTGCCCCCAATCTATATGTTCTATTACTACTCTTTTGCCCGCAAGCCCACTAAACAAACAACCCCACCAGGCACACAGTTAATAAATCCGGAGCCTATAGGGGTACAAGTTTACCAACCCTCCAAGCGCCCAAGCCCAATAATATCTTTAAATTAACTCATTTAAAAACAGAATGAGTTTAATTTTAAAACACGAACAACACAAATTCGAAGGAGACGGTTTCTTCTCAGCTCTAACATCTCTCATCCCAAAAGTAGTCAACTTCGTCTCAAACAACAAATCCCTTATTTCCCCAGGAGCACAAGCTCTTGAATCTTTTGCAAAAGCAGGAATAAATATAAGCGAAACAGTGAAAAGATCTAACGAGTTAAAAGAATTAAAACATATAAGAGAAATGCGAAATAAAAGATTAGAAAACATTAAAGGAAACGGTTTCAAAATTATTGGATAAAAATGTCAATGATAATTGTTGAAACTCCTAAAACTTATTTCGGTTCCGACATTCAAAAATCATTAGGTTCTCTTCCCGGATTTCCATGGGCAAAATATCCTGGAGAAAAACATCTTCCCGGTCATAATTATACTGGTCCAGGTACAAGGTTAGATCTACGATTAGACCAAAACGATAAACCAAAACAAGGTGAAGAACCAGTCAATAGAGTTGACGCCGCTGCACTTAAACACGATATACTATACAGAAATAAAGACATAATATCCAGACACGAAGCAGACAAACAAATGATAATCGAACTTGAAAATATTCCAAGAATTCAAAGAGCATTAATCATTAAACTCTTGACAGCAAAGATGAAAATGGGTATGGGAATAGCATATGAAATTCATAAAGAATTTAGAAACTTAACTGATTAATGGGAGGTAACACTGTTGTTTGTTTACTTCAAAGTAAAATACCAACCAGTTTATACACGGTTAGTTTTATTAATTTATTATTGACTTAATAATTATCTTCAACGCCCGGTAACAATCAGTCGTCTAGACTATTATTGATTGGATATACGTCACTAAGTAACAGATGGTTATATTAACATATAACATTCCGCCCATGCCACGTCAGCACAGACAGTCTAGACTCTCAACTGTTAGTAGTGTCTCAATTTTTGTTACGCTGGAAGATTAGGAATTTAATCATACAAAATCAAGGTATGTTCTTTGTTTGATTTAATCATAAGACGAGAGGGTGGAATTAAGATGATATGTTATTTGTTGTTTTTCAAAATATCAATTTTGTTCTATTCCAGACACAAGTTTAATAGATGTCAACATTTCATATAACGAAGAATATTTAAACCATCGCAGGCAGTGGGGGATACTACCAAACTCTGACAAATATCCGAGAATTCAAAATTGTTGATACAGATTTCGAAAATAGAACAAGTGCCGAAGAACAAGCGTTTTGGAAAAGTATAAAATATGTGACGTATATCTACCGATTCTACTAGGAGCGGTCGTGACACTTGACCCTTGAACTATGACTGGTAATAGTGTAAGAGGGGAGATAACTCTGAAGAATATCTACCGATTCTACTATGAGCGGTCGTGACACTTGACCCTTGAACTATGACTGGTAATAGTGTAAGAGGGGAGAAAACTCTGAAGTATATCTAGTAGAAGTGTATATCAACGTAATTGTTTATGTTTTAAATTTCCTTGTATTTATTAAAACTTACTTTGGTTTTTTGTTATTCTTCCTGCATTTCCATGGGGGTAAATGGTTTCAAATAATAGGGTAAAACCTATCTTTAAAAATGGCAGAAAAAAATTACAGATTAGATCCGATCTTTCAATTATATGATCCAATTCGTTATTCGTTTAATAAGAAAAAAGCTGATTACATTATCATATCACCAACCGTTGGCTCTAGGTCTCAACTAAATGATGGGGGTAGGGTCACTTTCGAGATTTATTCATTATCGAATTGGTTGCTTCTTTCCGATGCTTATTTCAGATGCGATTTCAAAATCAAAGACGGCAATCAGAATCGTGTACCACAAACCAATACAACGTTAGAAAACAATTTCTTTCCATCTTTATTTACTGAAATGGTTTTGGAAACTGGTTCAAATCCCATAGAAACCATCAAACACCCTGGGGAATTTGACACGATGTTGAAAACAGTTCTATATCCCAAAAACTACGATTCAACCTCAGGCTGGATACCCGATGTTGGCGATGGAAATGTTTTAAAAGAACCGGTAAGAAATCTTGCAAATGATGCTGAATTAGCTAGAGTGAGAGTTGTTGCTCGAAACACAATAGAAAAAGTAGCACGAGCAGCTAATCATGGATTCGAAAAACGAGTAGTTCAGTACAATAATGTTGTTGAGAATAATAGGTGGGGTAATTACGTAAATTGGAAATTATATCCTTTATTCGGTCTGTTGGAACACAGAAAGGTTTCATTAGGGTTAGCATATAAAATTCATCTACAAAGAGAAATCAATGATGATAAGATATTCTTTGGAGAGAATGCTTCAGATGCAAAATTAGAAATAACGAATCGCCATCTTTACATATCCGTAATAACACCATCAATTGAAGTAGAAACAAGAATATTCAACTCATTAACTAAAGATATTGAAATAGCTTTTCTTCGTCGCAATACAATAGGCAGCATAACTTTAACTGGAGAATCCACTACATGGCCAATCACTAACACTATTAAACCAGCAAGATATTTAATGGTTGGTTTCAGGAACTTACCAGATTCTCAAACGAATAACAATAATGTCTTCAGAGTGGCAATGAACCAAACTCAAGATCCTTTAATCCGTAAAGTTCAAGTAAGATTAAACAACGATAATTATCCTAACCAACCTTTAACAATTAATCCAACCACAAAGGAGTATAATGAATTGTATAGAAACTATAAAAATATGTGTGAATTATTTGGAAATTCACCTCAGTTTGAATATGTAGATTTTGCACTTAATCATCCAATCTTCTGTTTTGATCTATCAGCTCATCAAGATCTTTTTCAAAACAGGGGGGAAAATAAATATTCATATTGAAAAAACACAAGGAGATGTAACCGGGTATAGTTTAATATTGGAAGAAGCAAAACATTTAATCAAAATATCCGACAGACGGATGATTCGTATAGAATAATCATTTAAATTACCGTGAAAAACTTTAGTAAAAATAATAATAGAAGCTATCGAAACGGAATCACCAACTACAATAACTTACAATGGTAAAAAGATTAAATATAAACATTGTGAAGTTAGAGATGATATAGATTTGGAAAGAATTGACAAGAGTGTAAAGGAAGGTGGATTTTTACCTTTCCTACCTTTGATATTTGCTGGTCTGGCCGCGGCTAGTGCAGCAACTGGTGAGATATCTGCCGCAGTCAAAGCAGCCAAAGCCAAAAAAGCAGCTGATGCTGAAAAAAGTGAAAAGCGTAGACATAATATGGAAATGGAAAAAATAGCTCAAGGTTCGGGAGTAGCAGATATATTAGGGACAGTTAAAGAATTTGGAAATCGATTTAGTGAAGAAACCAAAAAAACTGTTAAAGAGGGATTAAGTAATATATACCAAAGAAAAGCGTTCAGAACATATTTAAATATTATGAAGACAAAGATGAGATAGAAATAAAAGATATCTTAGATACATATATAAAAGAAAAGGAATCCATCTTTAAATCCAACGGATATAAAAGTTTTTCTTACGAAAAATGTTAATGATTTAGATTTGTCTAAAATTGATAGTGAGCGAAAGAACTTAATAGTGTTTGACGACTGTGTAGCACAAGAAATCAAGCTGTTCAACAAGAATTCTTCACGAAGGGAAGACATCACAACTGTCACTGCATATACCAATCCCAATCTTTTTATGGGATGGATTCAATGTTCATTCGAAAAAATGCAAATTGTTTTTTATTATTCGAATTGAACGACAAAGATTTATCTCAAATTATTCAGTCAATTAATCACGGAATGGATAGAGATACATTCAAAAAGGATTGTAAAGCACAATGGAGAAACCCAGATGATCATGGATATATATTCAAAATAACAGGATTACAACATCAAATCTACAAACTCTATCTCAACCAATATTAAAAAGTCAAGAAGATATTACAAAGAGACTCGAGTCTCCTATAGAACACACACTTCATATAGAACCTCATCACCCCGAACCGATTGAATATGATGGTATTATGATTAGGACCTTAGATGATATAAAACGTTATTTTTCAAATCCAAAGCCAGATTTACCAAAAAGCATTTCACCAATCGTTGATGAAGAGGGGTTATTGTTTAATGGGCTTAGAATAAGATTTAGTGGAAATTCACCAATATTCAAAATCGATACAAAAGACTTTATATTTACATTAACAGAAGGATTAATATATTTGATGAATGGTGGGGATGTTGATATTGCCGATTACAAGGATTTAGTAGAATACTCAGAATTTCTATATATGATAAGAAAGACGGGGCCCGAAACAAAAAGATTAAAAGAAATTGATCTATATATAAAAGCTATTAATCAAGATGATGAATATGCTGAAGACAATCTAATCATACAAGATATAGACAATCCAATCACACAACAAATAGACGAATTGGAAGAGGAGATAGCTAGAGAAAACAGTGGACAAGGTATAACGTTTTTATCCGACAACAACGATGAACTACTTAATAGATTAGAAATAATATTAGCAGCAATGAAAGAAGGTCATCGTTCAGACAGACTATATAATGAAGTAAATTGCATATTAAAAAGATTCCTAGAGAAAGGTATTAGAGATAAAAATGATTATAAAAACGTAATTGATAAAATTATCCAATAAAAATAGTCACTGAAAAAATGCCAAATAAAGAACAACTATTCGTCATCACCTCAAATAAATCAGACATTAAATTGTCTCTAGATTATGAGTACGAACTCGATCGCAATGAAGAATATGAATTGGGATTAAAATATTTCTCTGTTTACAATTCCATTAGAAATATCAACGAAAATAATAACCAAATGAAAATATCAACAGATAACGGAGCTACATTCAAAACGATAAGTTTACTACCAGGAAGCTATGAATACGTTGCCATAAACGAATATCTATCTGAATATGGGGGAAGTGCAAATGGTAAAAACAATATTGAATTCGAAGGTAATTTGAATCTGAACAAAATAAAATTGATATTGAGAAATAAGAGTCAAGTTGATTTCAACGTAGATAATTCTTTGAATACTTTATTAGGATTTGATAAGCACACAATCCACTTTAGCGCCGCATATAGCTAATATCGAGAATGATATCGACGTCATTAATATTCACTGTAATTTAATAAACGGCGGATTTTTCAATAAACACAAACGTCAGATTATTTACAGTATTCCAACATTCACTGTACCGATTGGATATAGAATTAGAGAGAAACCATTTCAAACAACATATTTACCACTTAATTCGTTCATGATTAAAAATATAAATCTGGAATTCAAAGATGGTAAAAATAGGTTTATTGATTTTGGTAATGAAGAAAGTGTTACTCAACTTCATTTAAAACAAAAGAACTAAATTTATTAAATAATTAATCACTCTTCATTCTCTTCTTGATTATATAGGTAATCGAAATCATCAAATTCATAGTTTTCATCAAAACTATACTCTTCTTTATCATTATAAGGAAACATAATTCCTTCACTGTTTGGTGGTTTTCTCTTTACAAGATTCAAATAACTTCTAAAAACTTTCTTTTGTTTGTCATCATCCTTTGGAATAACTACTCCATTCGTGAAACTCCCATCTTTTATTAAATTCATTCGACACATCATGTCCACAAGCCAACTGAATATAATCTTCTACACTTGTCTTATTATTAGAATAACCCTTAAACGTTTTCTTTTCTTTTAAAACACCATCAGAAGTTAGAATGATATTGTATTTGACTTTAACCAAATATGATTCCACCATCACCATAATCATTTTTGCCTTTACAATATTCATTTTCAGATACCAACCCAGCTCGATTTAATTCATCCCAATTTCTAGATGAAATATATAAACTATCAGTGTCGGTATAGTATATTTCACGTTTATAAAATCCATGAAGAAGAAAAAAAACATAAGTGATAAATATATACATTCTTCAGAAAGTGATGAAACCCACAAAATTAGATCCACTAGTTATTACAATGGATACAGAAACAAAACTTGAATGAAATTATTCATTATTTTTTCACTGTGAGATAAAACGAATGATCCCAAATGACTAGGTGTTAGTCCTGTAGATTTAGTTGAGTTATCTTCAGCAGTTATCTCTTTTTCTTCAATTTCTGTCCCAACGATATATTGAGTTTCATTTATTTTTTCATAGTTTTTAACATGTGAGTCGAAATTAGCCTGAAAAGTTACTCGTGTTTCTATCCTTCTGCATAGATTTACCATACAAGGAATTGCCTAATAATTTCATGCAATTACTACCCACAATATCACCTTCTTGTTTATATTTATTTCTAAGATCTTAAAATATAATCTCTATATGGTAGAGTTTAAAAATTTTCTTCGTATACTATAACATCTAATATTCTAATAATTTGTCCACCGGCTTTAACTATTTCTTGAAGATTGACCGATGTTAAAACATCTGAACAGAAACCATTTCTAAACCTGATTTTACTCCCAGTTTCCTTTTTTCCTTCTTTGTGAAAGTGATATTATCTTTGGTAGTAGGGCATTACGCACCCAGATAATTCCCGCCCGGACACTTCCCGCCCAGCCAATTGCCATCAGGACATTTCGCACTAGGACTATTCACATCAGGACAACTTCCACCCGAGACATTTCGCACCCGGGCACTTTGCACCCAGGACAAATTCCACCTAGGTCAATTTCCCACCGCGACATTTCGCACCCGGGCACATTGCACCCAGGACAAATTCCACCTAGGAAAACTTCCACCCGAGACACTGAACACATCCGGATACTTCACACCAGGACGATTCACATCCAGGAAAACTGCCATCCGGAAATCTCGCACCCGGGCAGTTCGCACCCAATTTTTGCTCCCATTATAAAAATTAAAAACAGAGAGCACCCATGACAATTTCCACCCATAAGAACCGCATTCCTGTCTCTCACACAAACAACAATGCTACAAGGGGCCCATTCCAATAAAATTCGTAAGTACAAAATCATGCGTAGTTGCCATGGTAAGCTATGGTATCTATGGAAGTTCCGCATAATTTTGTACCTACGAATTTTACTGGAACGGGCCTCAGGGTATTAGTTTTGCTAAGTGACTTCGCTCCAATATCTCTTACACTAACTGTGTGCAATGGGGTTTTAACGAAAAGTATTAAAATGGGCCATAATCTGTCTCAAAGTATGACTGGCTGCCGTTTGGGACCTTTTGGC